AGGGGGGCCCTCAAGACATCACCCCCCGCCCCATCCATGCTCAGCACACGGGCATGTGTTTTGGCGCTGGCAGTACTAGGCGTCCGCTGGGTCCCATAGGGCCGCTTAGGGGGCACAGCAGTCCCTTCCTCAGCCCCATGAGGGGCCCGTCGCTTCCGAGGACCCCCTGCTGCGCCCCGGGAGCTCTCTGGGGAATAGCAGGACGAAGAGGAGCTGTCGGTACTATAGCGGCGCTGAGATCTGAGACTGGAGGCCGGGCTCAGCTCACTGCCCTCACTGGTGTCTTCATCTTCAAAGAAGCCCCCACCTTCCAGCAGGGGCCTCCGAGGGGCATGGCCAGGTGGGGAATGTCTTCGCACGGGCGGCCGCCGTTTGCCAGGCCGAAGCAGGGCCAAGTCCTTGGGCCGCACAACCAGGAGCGGCTCAGCTGGGCCTGGTGGTGTCCCTGCTCCGATGACTGTGTCAAAAGAACGCAGTGTGTCATCTGAGGGGACTCCAGCATCTGGTGAGGCTGGCAGCTCAGCTTCAGAGGGTGGGTCTGTGTCGCTGCCCTCAGGGGCTTGCCCACCAGGGGGGCTGTCCAGGTGGGTTGAGTTGGTCTTCTCACTCTTGAAGCTGCTCAATGTCTCCCTGTCGGTGCCACTAAAGCAGGAATCTGAGGAGCCAGCTTTCTGGGGCAGGGGCTCCCCTGAGCCCCGCCGGTCCAGGGGCTGGTAGCCACCCACTCCCCGGCGTTGTTCCCGTCGACTGCTGGTCCTCACCAGGGCCCGGTCAGGCCGAGACAGGGTCAGGAAGCTCTTGCTCAGCTCCTGGCTGAGGCTCCCCTTCAGTAGGGGACTCATAGGAGTGTCAGCAACACTGCTCCCACTCCAGGGGACTCCATCTCCAGCCAGGGGAGAGCGTTCCGAAGAGTCCGTGCTGGGGAGAGAGGGGTCTGGGGCAGCCCCCAGGGGCGTCTGGGGAAGGTCTCCAACTGTCAAAAGAAAGGGAGGCAGGTGAGTGAAGGACACATTGCAAAAGGAACTGGTGGCTAAGGGATCTATGGCCCGTGCTTTCTCTGAGAGCCCAGCTGGGGTAGGACCCTGAGGAGGCCCCATCCAGAACAAAGAAAGCTCCAGGGAAGCAAAGCTGGGGTGACTCTAAGACAAGACAGTCTTCCCCCAAGCCCCGGCCACACTAGGCCCACTCACTCAGTTTCTCCTGTGAGCTCAACTTCAGCATCTCTCGATCGGCTGAGGTCACGATCACGTTGTTGCTGCCCTGCTCCCGCACCAGCTCCTTGATGTCTGCAACCGTGGCCCCAAAGGCATCAGCAGGACCCCAGGGCAGCTGCCTGCCATCCCGTTCCACACCACCACCTTCAGCCCTGAGCAGCAGCCCCCTACCTCTGAGGGGCCCAGAGTCCTCCATCCGGGGAAGCAACTCCTGAGCAGATGGAAAAAGATGTGAAGGAGCAGACAGGACAGGAAGTAAGCCCAGGACCTACCCATGGTGGGGAGGGCTCCCGGGAGAGGAGTAGGAGAGGCTGAAGGCTGGGATCACTCACCGAGACCTGGTTGAAGCCAAACACGGAATGCTGGGAGCTACAACGAACTGGGGGGGTGGAACTCACTTTCCGAAACACTGTCATCTCCACTCCAGGGTCCCTGAAAGTGGAAAAGAGCATCAGCTGTGAGCTAACCTACCCGCTTTACATAGTACTTCCTCTGCCATCCCCAACACTTCTCACTTCTCAAGCATTCCTTCACAATTCCAGGGCCAACCGCAGAACCAGTACTGACCACTCATGGAGCCAATGTTCCCTAGGCCCCTCCTCCGTCCTCCAATGCTCAGGCCCAGGCACCGAGAAGCCTTCAATCCCCAACAGAGCCCCGCCCCGCCCACCTGAGCAGATTGCTGTCCCCCTGGGCAGGCTCCTCCTCCGGCTCCCCCATGGTAGAGTTGCGCTTCTCCACAATCTCGCCCTGGTCGAACATGGCATGCAGCCGGTAGTTCACAGTCTTGATGGTAGTGAAGATGACAGCCACCACAAGGCAGTACACACCGGCCACCATCAAGCTGGGGGGCAGGACCTGGAGATGTCAGCAAGAGCAAGTCAGGCCCCTCCTCAACAGCCCTGCCACCGCAGGACCGCTAGGACGCACACATGCGCAGGAGGCTTCGCCATCCCTCAGTGAGACTGGTGAAAATGCCTTGCCAGGGGCCCTGTCTCCTAACTCAAGAAATTACACGAGGTGCTCAAGGTCACCCAGCCCAGCAAAGGGAGAATGTGACTGCTTCTCCACACGCCCCAAACTGCGGAGATTCCCCTCTGCACCCCAGCACCCAGGGCGCAGTCCGGGATCCCTGCCGGGCTGCCAACCCTCCGTGACATCTGCCTTCACTTTCGCCGGCGGGAGTTACAGGTAGGCGGTGGCCGTGTCTCACCATGTACAGCAGGAAGGGGAAGGTAAGCAGGAAGATCCAGACGTAGAGGTGGAAGCAGTTGGAGAAGGTGCTCTGGTGCGGGTCGAAGAACCAACCGCCGGTGAGCGAGGCCCACACCCCCTGGCGCAGGATCTGTAACACCTGCGACC